TAGCTCATGTACGCTCTTGAATATTACATGAATTTAATATTCTATATATGAAAATTCAAATAATTATAATACGCAAAGTTGAAGTGTGAGTGGGGACAGGGAAAATTGTTGTGGAGTTGAAAAATAAAGATGTCAATATGGGCGGGCCCAGCTCAATCAGCCCAGGCAAACTTTGGCATTTGAAGGACTGGGGTGGATTGGCCCGCCATCGTGATGGGTCTTAAAATGATCAGCCCAACCCAACCTTATATGGATCACGAGCACCACGGCTGGCCCACTATTTTTTTATGAGATTTTTACCTTTCTATACCACATATGAAACCTTATTACCCTCAATGTTTAAGGTTTGAGTTAATTACATTTCAGCATACCAAATTACCATTTATATACCATAATTAATTTAGAGGTATAATTAATTGGCAGTTTTTTACTCCTTAATTAAAGGTGTCCATATATCTCACGTTTCTCTCTCCCCTTAATTCCAAAGATCTGACCAGCACTGTTTTCCTCCTCCCATTTCTTTCTCTTCTCCATTCCTCCTTCTTCTCAAAAAATACAGAGATGAGACCCATTTTTTTATAATCAGATATTTAGCCAAATAGATTCAATATGAAACCCATTGTGAATCCCATACAATAATAACGCCAAATACTGGCGGTGGCTGTCGCCAACACCAATTTGGTACATATACAACCCTGAAGATTTCATTAAGGAGTAGTCATGGGCCTTTGACAAGGATGAAGATGGAATAAGAAAGGTTGGTTTATTTGTAGTTTTTTTTTGTGAAATTTTGTAGATGAAGAGAAAATTTTGTAGTCAACATATTTTTTCAACATAGATTATAGTTTAATTGTAGTACAAATGTAGTAATTTTGTAGATATCCTTAAAAACAATACAACTTTATACAATACTTAAACTGATTTGTAGTTTATTTGTAGAAATTTTGTAGATAAAGAGAAAATTTTGTAGTCAACATTTTTTTCAACATAGATTGTAGTGTAATTGTAGTATAAATGTAGTAATTTTGTAGATACCCTTCAAAACAATACTGCTTTATACATACGAAAACTGATTTGTAGTTTATTTGTAGATTTTTTGTAGAAAATTTGTAGATTAGGAGAAAATTTTGTAGTCAACATTTTTTTTCAAAATAGATTGCAATTTAATTGTAGTATAAATGTAGTAATTTGTAGATACCATTAAAACAATATTGCTTTATACATACTTAAACTGATTTGTAGTTTATTTGTAGATTTTTTGTAGAAAATTTGTTGACTGGAGCTAGAGGAATGGAAAATTTGATTCTCTTTTTCTTCTTCATGGGAGACTCCCCGAAATCAGATTCCAATGTATCTTCAGGCGCAACAAATTGCTGGTGAATCTCGGTAATGGATGATGTTGGAGACATGAGTTGACTTACTGGGCGTGGATTAAAAGTTGCAGGGCGAGGACGTGAAAAATGAGGAAAGAGAAGCCTGCAGAAAAAGGAGGAAACAAATCTGATGTGAATATGAAAAAATATAGTCCCAAATTTTTAGGCGCCTAATTTGGAAGGAATAAGCTATTCAAATATTTATCCCAGATTTGTAGGCGCCTAATTTGGAAGGAATCAGCTCTTAATATTGGATATTTAATGAATGGTATAAATTTTGTAGGAAAAATATAAACATGGCGGGTAATAATGGAATTATGCACATTTTTAGTAATAAGGTTTCATATATGGTATAGATAGGAAAAAATCCTTTTTTATATAAATATTTTTTCATGCTTTCTTTTAAGTTCAAAGCTAAAACTACTAAAAAAAATTACAGTAATATTTACAAGTAAAAAATTTCTTTTTGGATGGTATACTTCTAACTTAATAACTACTAAATCTGTTTCAATAGATTACGATAAAATTCTAGAAAAAGTACAACATTTCATTCATTAAAGGTAAAAACTCAAAACACTGATATTTAAGAAAACTTCCATGACACTTATGGCATATCCATGCCAATACATCATCTTTATCAAGCACATTTGAATCCGCTTGTGATAAGTTTATCTTAATATATTTATTTTACATAAACATCTCTATTTTTAATTAAATATTTTTAAGGAATTTTTACCTCCTATAGCAAAGGTTAACACCTTATTTATTTTAAATAAAAACCTTTTAAAAAAAATTATATTCTATAGATACCTTTTAAGGTTTATAGCAAAATATTTAATTTTGGTTACCTTCTAGTCCTAAGCCACTAAATACGCTAATCAGTTACAATATTTTCTTTCTCTCTCTACTTTGATACATCCCATTCTCTTCCCCATCCTATTAAAATTTCCAATACTCTTCCTCTTCTCTGTCTACTTTGAGAGGAGTTTTCTCTCTCTTTTATATCGATTCCATTTCAGAATCCTTCCAAAGTTTGGCCATGCACGCACACGCACAGTTGAATCAATTTCCTCAAAGAAAACAATTATGTCGTTAGCTTCAGATCCTTCAAAAGGTTCTAGATCTACTTATTGTCGTAAACAGAAGTCTCTCGGTCTCCTATGTTCCAATTTTTTGAGCTTATAAAATCGGGAAGGTATTGAAACCATAGGGCTTGATGATGTTGCACGGAGATTAGGGGTGGAAAGACGGCGGATCTATGATATCGTGAATACCGTCCCTGCCAATTGAAAAAATTGAGATATGGATATTGTAGGATGATTTTCTGTTAATATATGTCAATGTATATTCATGTATTTCATTGTATTCGTTGTCTTTTTTTTCATTGTAATTCCATGTATTTCGTGGTATTCCATGTATTTCATTGTATTCACTGTCTTTTTCTCTCATTGTATTTCAATGTATCCCGCTGTATTCTATGTATTTTATTGTATTCACTCTCTCGCTATATGCCATGAATGTATTCATAAGTTTTTTTAATTAATGTAATTTATGTATTCAGATGTATTATATAATTTCTCTGAAGATTGCTATATTTTTGGGGTATTTTTCGGTTGAGAATCTTTTTTATAACTGAAAATACAAAATTTGTATGTTATAATTGAGTTTGTTGAGTTATATTAAGAGTCTATTATGTTAATTGATTCACTTTCCCTTTTAAAAACAGTGTCATCCCCTATTTCACGCCGTGAATACAGTCGAATACAGTTGAATACAATAATCTGTCCAGCTGTAATCCCATGTTTCACTCCATGAATACAGTCGAATACACTCGAATACAACAACTGATTAGCTGGACTTCCCTGATTCATGCCTATTTTTGCTACTGTATTCATGAATACAATAGCTTAAATACATCAAATACATCTTATAACCACATAAAAGGTATCTATAATCCGTAATATAGCAAATGGTATCTATAAATGGCTAATTACTACTAAAAGATAGTGCTTTATGAAAATTTCCCTATTTTTAACTATGCCCACGGGCCAACCAGCCCAGTCTCGATCAAGCCTCATAGGTCATGGGCTTACTTGAATTGAGGTAAAATCGTGTAATTTCTTTACACAAGACTTATTTATAAGATAATCATAGATGAATTTCTACTATAAGCATTAAATAATAATTTAACAAAATAATAACTAACATATTATAACATGTTAAAATATACTAATCATGTAAAATAAATTACAACTTAAATCCATGGATGGAAATATAATAATTTCCAACTGCTAAAGGAAAAAAAGAGATCAAAGAAGGGAATATAAAATAGTCTGCTCAATGGTCCAATTGTCCACCACAATGGAAGATCTTGAAAGCTAGCATGCAATCTTGTTATCTCAATACAACCCTACATCACAATTACTAACAAGAATTAATTTAATTAGTGTAGCCTCAAGAAGGGGCAACTTTTGATTTTATGCTAAATTATTTGTACGATTTTGCAAAATCTGACATATCCTCTGGTCATTGCATTATATTTGCAGTTACAACATTTTGTGCAAACCCAAACAAAACACTATGAATATGTCTCTGTCAGCAAAATCAAACTCCCAAATAATGTATCATGCTTGTTTGGCAATTACGTGGAGCAATAATAGTAACAAAATGTGAAATTCCCGAAACAAATTGGACAGCCTTAATTCTCAAGCAATTTAACTTTATATGCATGTGGATACAAATAATTGACACACACCACATGATGCAAATAACCAAGATTACAAATGTCGAACACATAGGTCCCTAAGATTAATACTGTAGCAGATTATACCAAAAAACTAACATAATTATTACGGTAAGAAAAAATCGTATCATCTTCTGCTATTAAATTGAGCCTTATTAGCTGTTTTGTGCACAATTACAAATGATAACTAAACAAAATAAACATCAGTATGCGCTTATTGTCAATAGTATAATTATATCAGGAAAAAGGAATTAAATAAGATGACAGCAACTTGGATGGCTATTTCAATCTAATTAATACAACTTGGAAAAAATTTCAATAGAAAATTATAACAGTATGTACTCCTTTTTCAAATTTAATGAAAATAACTATCAAAATTTCTTGAGTTATGGCACTAGAAAACTAAGGTAAGGGAAGAATTCGGGGATTGTATTAGATCTTATGAATTTAAAGATCCCAATTTAAAAAATGAGTTTCGCTCTCCAAAGGGGACTTCTCCTCAACTTACTTTTTGAGAGCTTTTTCATAATATCCCTTTTTTTCTATAAGTAAATTTTGCAAGTAAAAATCTAGGTGCCAAGATTCATGGAACAAACTCAAACTAGGTTTTTTATGGAGGACATGTTCACCAACTAATGCAAGGATTGAAATTTATCCAATCTACCAATACTAGATACTACCAATATTAGTCACAAAATTAACACCAGGTATTTTTACCCACCTATCCAAATCTTGGTGGATAGAGTTATTTGATACTTGTTGTTGGTGAGAGGTGGCAGGTATTGCTGGAATTAGTCAAGGCGCGCGCAAGTTGGTCCGAACACCACGGTTGTCAAAAAAATTTATATTAGTCCCAACATTTGGGATGCTTTCATTGCACAAACTTTATATCTAACTTGTAGCTCATAAATTGATGGATTGTGTACATTAAAATCCATCTAAGTAAACCCTTTCTTGATTCCATCCAACCCATATTTTCCCTTCTAATTGTAAAAATTTTGTACTTTTATTAGCTTAGGCTACAGTTTACAGCAATACTTAACATAGAGATTTCTCTATTTTCTAAAGACTACAAATTGTTCTCGCAAAACTAAAAAACATAAAAAAGGAAAAATAAATATTTTTAAGGCCATAAAAGGGATAACAGAGGATGTATATGTTATCAGTTCTTTTGACTTGCAGCTGATCTATTATTTGACCATAACTTACTGAACATTCTTTTAGGTCGATTTGGAATGACACATAAAGCTTTAATCCTTGAAGATTTCCCAATTTCATCCAAATCATCATCATCTTCAGCTAACTTCATTTTTAGAGTTGAAAGGTTGGAGTTTGGTGATTTTAGGGCTGAGGCAGTAGTCCACTGGTCATCAACTGGTGTCTTGTTAAATGTTGCTGAAGTCTTGGCTGTGTCCTCTAGAAGTGCCTTGATGTTGCTAGGCAATTCCGTTACATGGCCACCGGACATGGCTGCTCGAGCTTGCTCGAAAAATAGAACTTGAACAACTACCCTTAGTGGAAGTAATTCATTTTGTGCTGCATGCATACAAACTTCCATTGATAGTTTCTTGCAGTCCAACATTCTGCACAGCCTCTTTCTTTCACTCTTGTTCAGCTCCGGATGCCCCTGCATTTTCATTATCGTCTAAGTTCTATGCACTGACGTTGTAACAAGTATGGTAACTGACCTTCTATAATTGGTTAAACTAAACATGCTAATGTCCCACACGCTAATTTTTAACATTTAGGATGTAACATTTTTGGTTACTTCAATTAAAATGATAGTCCCAACAGTAGATAGTGGTCTAGTCAAAGATGTGATGAGAAATTTTACCTTGAGATAGATGTCAATGGCTCTGTAAAGATCATCATGGTCAAGCCTAGCAAACTCTGGAATTGCTTCAGCAATGGAAATGAATTTTGACAATGGCAAATTTGAGTCACTGGAAATTTCTTGAAGATATCTATCCACAAGCTTAGCTACCTTGAGTTTTGAGCTATGTGATGCTGATGAAGATCTTCTACTTTCTTGGAACTCAAGGTCAATATTCTCCGCGGACCGAGATCTTCTCCTCTCAAAATCTCCTTTCCTTCTTAGTGGACTTGTTGGGGGACTTTGCCCTTGCAACATGAACTGTTCTAATATGGTGATAACTATGTCAACATCATAAATTGTGTCACATGTGTGCGACAGACAAGGTATTAACAGATCATTGACAGTGGCATCTTCCAATTGAAGTCCAATCCTTCTTGCCAATTCCATCTTGGATGAAGAAGAAGCCTTCAATATGTTAGCTGCTTTAAGCAATTTCAACAAGAAACTACAAGAAACTGCCCCCTTTTCAGCTGGTAACAATGTTATAATTGACTCCAACAGCAGCCTGTATTTTCCAATCGAATCCGAGTCTTTCTGATCATATTCTAGCTGCTTCTTAGGATTTGCATATTTTGAAATGTTTGGTAGCCATCTTGATGCATAAATTCGCAATGCATCACCGATAACATTAGCAGCTACTTTCCCACCTGATTTGATAGCTATCATACTTCTCCAATAAAGGTCTATGCTTAATTCTGCTAATTCTTCAGCCCACCAACTTTTAGATGAAGTTTTATTATGCCTTGTGCTTTCTGAATCATTGCATGAAATATCACCTCTTCTTGAGTAGCTTCTTGACAAATTCACCTTTGATGGATGAGCTAAGACTTTTGAAGCAATGGCTTCAATACATCTGCTTGTAATTCCTAAGTCCTCAGACCATAAAGGAAAAGACTTGGTACTTTGCAATGTCACAATTGAGTCTTTCCAACCTGAAAGTATGCAAGAATTGAAGAATACATCAAGTTTGTAGATTAAATTTCCTTTCTCTACATCCTCTGTCATCTGCAGGTATTCTGCAGCACAGCGCGCCGCAACAATGTTGTAGGCACTGATAGTGATAGTGATACCATAGCAGAATTTTGCACATAGCTCAAATGCTTCAATTCCACCAGGAAAATCTGGTAGCTGCACTATTTGGTGCTGTGAGGTTTCTGGACTTTCAGAGCATAATTTCTGTAGCCTTGAGCACTTAGACAGCAGGGGAAACTGTTTCACAAAATCCATAAACAAATTAATGTTAGTTTAACAATTTTGTTCATTATTTCAACTTCAACTTGAAATAGATAACTTGACGTTGAAAAAAGTGAAAAATTGTCTTCACTCGCAAAACTTCAACTCCTTCTCCAGGTTAACTTCATGTCCAGACACAATTTCAACCTCCAAATACTTTTGTTCAACTTCAAATATTGACCAAGTGGGAGAAAAAAGAAAGAAGAAAAGTTAGAGAATTTAACCTTGTGAAGCAAATATCTGCTACCCTTTACTTGGACTATGAGATCACTAGTAACTTCAGAGTTAACTGACCTGCATCAATAAAGAAGAATCATGGTTTCTGAATATTTTTTTCTTAAATTCAAGAAGAACAAGAAGTGGAGAAAGAAAATATGAAGTTACCTTACAGCCTCAGTAGTAATGAAAGTGTCAGGCCTAGATCCAAGTTTCATAAACTTCATGTTGTGAGGCTTTGTTAATTCTCCAAAAGACAAAGTATATTTAAACAATAAGCAAAACCATGGCAGAGTCAGAGAGACAAAGCCATCTCTACAATTGTTGAAAGCTTCACTTTTTTAGACACCACTACCTTGGAAAGTTCCTTCTCCAGCTGCTACCAATAGATATTGTCGGAAAACAAAAAGAACCACCACTATGTCTTGTAAAATTTTTCTAAAAGTTTGGTAAATTACCCAACAAGACTGACATTTATTCAACTCCCAAATAGTTGTTCAGAAGAATGAAATGAAAAATAATAGAGAGAAGGACATAAAACTATAGGATTGCCTTAAAGTTTGTGGATTTGGTAGTATATATCTGGCTTGCACTAATACATACAATTTATACTAATGATGACCAAAATGACATGAACCAAGAAAATCAAGCACTCCCAAAATTCTTGTCCTTTCAGTCAAGTTTGCAGTTTGATTTAGACATGCAAATAGAAAGAAAAACTCATCAAGATCAGAGGACTATGGCAATACAAGTCAATTTAAAAGAAGAAAAAAGAAACGAAGGAAAAAGGTAGACCACAAAATTTGTTCAACATTTAATAACGGATATTGGAAAAGAAAAATTTTAAATCTCAAAATTTTTAGTATTTTTTTTTTTCTTTTCTTCCTCTACTATTAATTTTACACGCACATATCAAGTGAAACCTATTGTAAAGAAATAATAACAATCGCTTATTAACTAAAAATTTTAAGATTATCTTCGTTTTAGCTTATTAATTCTATATGTCATGTAAGTATATTTACATTGCTAGTCTCAAGCCTGAATAATGATGGAGTTCCTTTACGTTGACAGTCAGTTTAAAATTAATCAATCTACGATTAATTCTTATATAACGAAATACATTTGGACGTGCTCACTTATTGCACTAAGACAGACTTAATAAAGTGATGTAAAATTATAAAAATTCATACGATCGATCTTAATTGATTGTGATTGAAGTGTAATTGTTAATATTGTTGGTCGTTTTACCTTTGTTGATAGCCTTTGTTCTGTTCCAACTGCCAGCGTGCTAGCAATAACAGAGAGGCGACGCCCACGTGCTTATCTTGTGACATTTTTTTCTCAGCAAAGTTTTCCTACATAATTTTATTATTTGTCAAATCACTACAATCATACAAGTCATCCTACGCCGCTCTTTTTTGTATTAAACATCCAATAGTTACCTTTTCTAATTATACAGGATATTTCAATTTACTTTTTTTTCTTTTGGGGAAAAGAAAAAGAATACAGGTAAAGTAATGGTATAACGAGGAGAGAAGAAAAGTAAAAGTAAAGAATAGGATATGTGTATCACTATCAAAGTTGGCTTTTAACAATTCTCATATAAGGGCCATAAGTTCATGATATATAAATGCGGACAAGAAAAGTTTGCCCTTGCTTTTCGATATATCAACAAAAGTAGACCATCAAGCATTTATAGCAAGAGGGCCACGGCCATTAAATATAATTTGTTCAAACTTGTGTCTGAATTGAAAGAATTTTGTTTACTTTAGAGGAAAATAAGACAGTTTTTCATCGTAAAATATTGATATATGAGGATAAAATGCGTTAAATTTGGCAGTTGAAAGTGTAGGTCAATTTTGTTTTCTGCCTTGGATTCTTCAGAAATAATAGAACTATTTGATGAAAAAATCAACCACAGTGATGGATCTGATTGAAAATTGTAGGAGTCCACTTTATTGATGAATGTTCGTTGATGCAGTAATATAAAGTCTTTGTTTTGGAAGAAAAAAACTTAGGAGAATTAAAATTGAATGGAATATTAGTACGTGGCCATGGCATCTACGTTTAGTTATCTTCTTATCCATGCAAAAGAAAGTAAATTTTGTTGCCATCATTTATGCTAAGTGCTAAGTTGACCTACATATTCTTAGGTGCAAATTTATAAATACTTTCTTTCAATTCTTTTCTCAACATTTTTAGTTCCATTTGTTAGAGTATGCAATTTGTTGAATAGAATCGTCATCATTCCATAGGGGGCTTCTTGAAAATCGCCAAAGACCCTGACTGAAGTCACTGAATTATAATCATTGGAGTAATTGTTACGTATGACACTCTATTGTTCTATTCCCCCGGTCCACTATAAGTGATCAATTTGCCTTTTTATTTTAGTCCAAAATAAGTGTTCATTTATATAATAAGAAAAAATTTAATTTATTTTTTCAAAATTGCCCTTATGTACGTATCCTTAAAAAGTCTTTTACTCCTCACAATTAACTATGGTGCAATATTTAATTAACGGAAAAGGGTTAACAATGCCCCTAAACTATTGGAAAAGGTTTAAAAATACCCTTCATCCACCTATTGGGCTAAAAATACCCCTCCATCCACTTTTTGGTTCACTTATGCCCTTTGATCGTTAGGTCAATGCTAAATTAAAAATGATTATTATTCTTTTTGTAAAGCTTAAAAAAATATTTTTCAAAATATTTTCGTTTTTTTAGACTAATGCACCAATAGTCCCCACTTATTTAGTAAAGTCTTCTTATTTTTTTCAGTTTTTACAAAACAATATTTTTTTTCATTTTCTTCAGTTTTTTTAAAGTATTTTGTTTTTGTAAAAGCTGGAAAAAAAATTGTAAAAACAGAAAAAAATATTTTTAATAAAATATTTTTGTTTTTTAAAAGCACGAAATTTCTTAATGAAATGCTTTTCGCATTTTTACCCTTTAAAAATAGAGTTCGCACTGAACAAAATTATTAATTTCCTAACATTTGAAATCAACTAATACTTTATTTATTATAATAAGAAAACTCAATATCTAGGACATTAAAATCAACTGAAATTGTCCATTTATACTTAAAAATCCTAATATTTAGAACCAAATATAAGAACTAATTCGAATTTCAACGTTTTAATATCTCACCACTGAGAATTACATTTGGAGTCAAGACATTAAAGGCAAAAACAGAATAACTACCACTACTTTTAAATTTAAAAGAAAAGAACTACTATTATTGATTCTTCAATTTGTTTTTGGTCCAGTACTATTGATTCTTCTATTAGCAACTAAATGAGGAATTAGAGTTAAAATAAGCCAATATAAGACTAATATAAAGGAATTAATTTCTACTCCCTCTGTCTCAAATTATTTATCATAATTTCCAAAAATAGATGTTTTAATTATTTGTCATTTTAGAAGTTCAAGACAAAATTAATTATTTTTTTGTTTATCCTTAGTACTAATTATTTTTTAAGATGGAGATGACACGTAAATAAAGTAAATGTTCAATAAAGAGAGATTATATTTAAGACATAAATAAAGATAAAAAAGTAAAAAATTCCATCTAATTAATATTTTCTTTAGGGGTGTGTAAAAGAGAAATACGACAAATAATTTGGGACGGAGGAAATATTTATTAGTAATCAAGAGCTTTTAAATAGGTAAAAAGATGGTCAATTTATTAGTGATATGAAACATTTATTTTAACAACAAAAACGTACTCCAACTAAATAAATAATTGGTCAATATCTGAAATCACATCAATTAGTAAGTGACGATGAACACTACAATTATGGATTTATTAGTATTGAAGTTGCACTAATCAAGATACTCGAGAAGTTTACTAGCAAAATTAGTTAAGTTCCGGTTGGTGGAATTATACTTTATAAAAGTTGGAGGCAATAAATTTTATATTGGTGTTTGACATAAAAGAAAGTAGCAGAAAAGAAAAAATTTACTCACAAAATTAAAACCCTATATCAAAATTATTCAAAGTCGCAAGTTGAAAACTAAATTTTTTTAAATATAAAAAGACTAAAACAAATAATATTAGCTCTTTGTTTAATATTAGTTACTATATATATATATATCTATATCTATATATATATATATATATATATATATATATATATATATATATATTTGTCCACAACTAAAAAATATACATGAATCTATCTATCTATCTATCTATCTTATTTTAATAAAAAAAATGTGTCATATCAATTGAAATAAAGAAAGTAATATTTATATAAATTTAAAAATTAATACTCATTAATTAGGTACACATGCAAAGCGCGTATCCTAAAGCTAACAACAAGAAAATTTGCCCAACTTAAAATGATGGTTGGTTTCCAATTATATATAGGGATGATGTATACCATTGTCTTATTTGGTAACTCAAACACAATAAACTATATGTCGTTTTGTGATAAATCAGTAAACCTAATATGTTGCACGATAACTAAACAGAAATTGATCACATTGTTCAAGTAATTGGCTCAAGCTATATGTCCATTATCTATGTCTGTTCTCAAAGAATTGAATGTGTAATGGCCTTATCGATGTCGTCCAGCGAGGATCTGGACACGGCCGTGATTTGGTTCTATCAATGTCCGGTCAGGACCATTACCATTAGCAGCAGAGGCAAATTTATGTTTTATATTTTATGGATTTAACTTTTAAAATTTTTAGCTTTAAATTCATTATACTTTTAAAATTATATCTACTATTTGTTACTCCCTCCGGTCCAAAATAAGTAATTTTTTGGCTTTTTTTTTGTGGTCCAAAATAAGTGATTTTTTCAGATTTCAAGAATGAATTAATTATTTTTTTCCTATATTGCCCTTGGAGTAATTAATGTTGGAGTATGTGTTAGGAGTGTTTATGTGAAGAGACAATAAATGTTAACATGGTCAATTTCATTGCTAATTAATATTAAAAGGTGAATTTCTTAATATGTGTGAAAACAACCAAAAAATCACTTATTTTGAACCGGAGGGAGTAATAAATTTGTGCTACATTGAAAATATTAGACTTAGGTGATTCGGTGCCTCAATACTACATTTGCCTATTATTAGCCGATAGGTGTATAGCAATAATATATAAAGCAGTACTCATTTCTTTAAACGACCTTTTATACTGAGACGACCCGGCCGGTCGTCTCATGAGTTACCGCTCCGTTTCCCTTATTTCTGCTTCTTTATGCCTTGTTTATCCGTGTTTTGAGGTATCGGGTTGGTCGGATTGGATTCGGATTGGTTTTGGTAAAGTTTGAGACACTTAGTCTCTTTTAGGAAGGCTTAAGTTGGAAAAGTCAACCGGATGTTGACTTATGTGTTAGAGGGCTCGGATGTGAGTTCCGATGGTTTGGTTAGCTTCGGGAGGTGATTTATGACTTAGGAGTGTGATCGGAATGGGTTGTGGAGGTCCGGAGTAGATTTAGGCTTGAATTGGCGAAGTTGATATTTTGGCGATTTCCGGTTGGTAGGCGAGATTGTGATATAGGGGTCGGAATGGAATTCCAAGAGTTGCAGTAGCTTCATTATGTGGTTTGGGATGTGTGTGCAAAATTTCAGGTTATTCGGACGTGATTTGGTTGGTTTTTTGATCAAAAGCGGAATTTGGAAGATTTTTAGAAGCTTAGGCTTGAATCCGATGTGTTTTGGTTGAACTGATGTTGTTTGAAGTGTTTTGATGATTGGAACAAGTTTGAATAAGGTTTCTGGATATGTTGGTGTCTTTGGTTGAGGTCCCGGGGG